AAGGGGCTGGCGTGAGTTCCCACTCACATGGGCAGCAGGTGACGCTTGGGCCACCGAGAGGCTGACAGGATGCCCCCAGCTGGCAGCCTGGTCCTGGGGGTCCCCACCATCAATGCTGCCAGCGAGGGAAAGGCTCGCCGAGAAAACAGTAGGCAGGCGTACAGATAGGCGTTTGATGTGATTTACACCAGTAGCTCAAACAGGAGGGTGTAAAACAGAAGAGCAGACAAGTTGAATGGTGGTTCTTGTGCTGATTTTCTGGGAGGTGGCTTCTTCAACCGGCTGCACACATCTCTACTGTTAATGTGACAGCAACTTTGAACTAAAAACAACCCAAGAAACTCAAAGATGAGAACACAAGAAAAGCTGCTTCAGGGTTCAGCCTGATGAGCTAAGAGCATTTCTGTTGTCACATACACACACACAAAAAAAAGCAGGTTAGACCAAGTTGTTCAGAAAATGGTGGGATGACATTGCTTTGAATCAAGAGCTTCTCCTTGGAGCTGGCCTTCTGCTCAGCGACGAGAGGCTGCAGAGGCGCCATCGGGAATGATTTTCCCTGGCCAAGAGGATGGGCCACAAGTACGCAACTGAATTTCCTTTCCCTTGCCAAACTAAGCCCTGCAGCGTCAAGGGGGTATCTTGCTCAGGTTTTGCTGGTTTTTTCCACCTCCCTGCCAGGCTTTGGGAAGGGCTGTCTGATTTTTTCTGCAGAAGTTGAAGCAAAGCAGAATCACCAAACCCACCTCAAACCAGCTCAGCCAAAGGCAATCACTCCCCAACTCTTGCTCCCGGTGCACCAGCCTTCATGGGTTAACTGTCACACATTGGTTCACAAAATGCACTTTTGTTAGAAAACATTTATGTCAGCAGCTGCACCGGCAAGGTTACTACCAAAATATCTTCCTGGGCTTTGGGTTTTTTTTACAGCCTTTGTTGGTTGGTGGTTTATTTGTTTTGTTGTTGGGTTTTTGTTTTTAAATCCTCATCCTGTTCTAAATAGGGAAGTGATTCATTTCTCTCTGTTTAATTTTGCTTCAGCCTACTGTTTTCTGTTTCAGATGGAAGAAAAGCTCCTGGCTCGGGAATAACAGAAGGAAAAGATGACTCCATAAGCTCGGCCCTTGGAAGACAGAACTAGTCCTCTTTGCATCTATTTAGCATAAACAGGTTCTGTGTAAGGCTGGCGTGTAACACCTGAAAGAACGAAACCGACGAAGTCACCACAACGTGAACTACCCTTGAAATCACCTACAGCTGAGCTGACTCGCCCTACAGGTCCCTGATTTTGCTGGAGGGGGCAGCGGTTACCTTGCAGCAGGCCCGGCCGGTGCCGGCGGCG